GAAGGCCGAAGAACGCCACCGTGCCCAGCTTCAATTGTAGAAACAACAACTTGATTTGCAGAAAATGAGGGATGAAGATAAAATTTGATGATAGATTTGAATTTCCTTACGAATCGCATGATACGTCGACATTGGGAACAAAAACAAATACAAATTTTACAAGAAAGAGATATTGCGCAACAACAATCTCAAGCAACACCATCATCATCTAACACGGGTCAATTTAGATTTCTAGACGACATCGGGCATGGGAGGAAATTTGAATAATTATTATGGTGACAATTAAGCTTATGAAATTGTCTATTTTATAAACCCTTTTAGTTGTTATGTTCCTATATTAATAGTGTTTGAACCGTTAATTTTAAGTGAGTTGAATGTTTTTCCTTATTTTGTAATTTTTTAACTTTTTTGTTTGAAATAATTATATAAGTGAATTTAAATACTAATTAATATTCTTACATATTAATTAATAAAGTATTCAATTTTTCATTATACTACTTAAAGTTCTATCATATTAGTTACAATAATTAAGTTTAAAACATTTATAAAATATTTTAATTTAACTTATAAAATTAATTCATTCATTCATCCATTCAACCCAACTGTAGTTAAAAAAAAAAAGCCCAACCACAATACATCTAAATGGGCCCAAAGTACAACCCTAGTTAAATAAAAAATAAAAAAAATGAAAAATCTGATAGCGGATGAACAGTGGAACGGTGTGCCAATCGTTCCACAAAACTCGTTTGCCATTTCCTGCAGAAATAGAAGGTCTGAGATGAATTTTCTCCAACCATGCAGTTTCCGCTGAGTATAGAGAAGGGATTGGAGATGCTCTTAACATTTTTTATTTTTATTTTTAAAACAAAAGGATAACTACACTTTCTAATAATACTAGGACAATATCCGTGTAATACACGGGTGTTAAGTTAAGATATATATGATAAAATTTATTGCTAAAATAATTTTTTTATTTAAAATTTTTGATGGACTAATTGATGAAAAAAAGAATAGAGAATGTAGAAAGTGATTTGTAAATCGTAATTTAAGAGATAAATATGAGAGAAAATTATAATATGGTAAGATTGCTATTTGCCCAAACTAAGAAAGAAATGTGTACTAAGAGAAAAAAGTAACAAAATTATTAGATTGTATTTTCCTTATGATAGCACTTTTTACTAACACGCTTTCAGCATTGTAAATAGCATTTTTAGTAGTAAATAGTCTTAGTATAAATAGGATGCATTAGGGTTTGATACTTCACTTTTTCACTTTCTATTTTCTGTATTTTTGCTCTCTCTCTCTAAACTCTCTCGCCGTCATGTACTACAGAGTTCTTCTCTGATTTTGATTCAATCTTTCATCAATCTTTTGATTCAATCACTGTTAATATGGTATCAGTTACCAAATTCTATCGATCCTCTACATTTTCCGCTGCATACTTGTTTGTTCTTTGATTTGTTCGACTCGATCGAACCTTAGTTTTTCGTTTTTTTTTTGTCATTTTTGCGTCGATTTGGTCTAATTGGTGTTAATCCGTTCCGATCTGTTCTTTGTCACGCAGATCTGTTCTGGTTTTCTCTGATTTTCACTAAATCGGTCGTCTATTGTTGTTTCTGATTTGATCTACTTAGATCTGATATATTTTCGCCATGGTTCTTCCATCTGATGATCCGTTGTCACCGTTTTACCTGCATGCGAGTGATAATCCTGGAGCAGTCATTGTCGCAGATCTCTTTACAGGCGAAAACTATGTTGTCTGGTCGCGAGCGGTCCTGATGGCGCTCAGCGTGAAAAACAAGGTTGCCTTCGTTGACGGTTCTCTGGTAACCCCTAATCCTACTACTAATCCTGTTAAGCATGTTTCCTGGGTGCGTGCAAACAATCTGGTTCTATCCTGGATATTGAATTCTATTGCTAAGGATATTAGACAATCTCTTTTATTCTTTTCTGATGCTCAGAGTGTTTGGGATGAAATTAAATCTCGCTATTCTCTCAGTTCTGGTCCTAGAGTATTCCAACTTGAAAAAGCTTTGAGTTCTATGGATCAAAATTCTCAAACCATTACTCAGTACTACACTGCTTTTAAATCTATTTGGGATGAGTACATTACATATCGACCTGTCTTCAAATGTCTTTGTGGTGCTATGTCTCGCTGTTCATGTCAAATTTTTGAATCCATGACTTTGGCTCAACAAAATGATTCTGTTCTTAAATTCCTGGTTGGTTTGAATGAGTCTTACTCCTCTTTGCGCAGTCATTTTTTACTTTCTTCACCTTTGCCCTCTTTATCCAAAGTATACTCTCTGCTCTTGCAAGAAGAAAGTCAGCGCCATTTACAATCCTCTTCCAAATCATTTGAACATGTTGCTATGTAGCCAAATCTAATCATGGCCCTTCAAAATACTTCAAAAATCCTGCACCCAAAGATAAGAAACGATTTAAGTGTGATCACTGTGGTTACAATCATCCTACTGAAAAATGTTATCAAGTGATTGGATATCCAGCAAATTGGGTTGGCCCTAAAGGTCCGAGAATACATCCCTCTCACCCATCTGTTAACTCTGTCAGTGCTACTCAAACTTCAAACTCTGTTACTCAATCTTCAAATTCCATGACTGATGCTTTGTTTACTGAGTTTCTAGAGTTCAAAAGATCCCTTGCTAACAAACAGGGAACGGCTCCGGTTGAGTCATCCCCTGTAGCTGCCACTGTTCACATAGAACAACAAGGTACTTTATCATTATCTTGTCAGTCTATCAAAACTATTTCAAATGACACTTGGATTCTTGATACTGGAGCAACATATCGTATGATCTGTGATATCAAATATTTTTCTACAAAACCTTATAAAATATCTCTTTCTATTAAACTTCCCAATGGACAAAGTACATGTGCTAGCCATGTGGGACAGGTTAACCTGGGGCCTAATCTTGTGCTAAAACATGTTCTCTTTGTTCCTGATTTCACTTTCAATCTCATATCTGTTTCTAAACTAACTGCTAACAATAATTGTTCTGTTAATTTTGTCTCTTCTTATTGTACATTACAGGATCTGCAAACCAACAAAATGATTGGTTTTGCTGAGACAAAGAATGGTCTTTATCATTTGTCATTTTCTAATTCTGTCTTTTCTGCAAATGTTGTCTCAAATGTTTCTAACAACAATACTGATTCTGTTCATGAACATGTATTGCAAACCAATAATGTTACTCATGTACTTTCTCTTTCTGAACTATGGCATAACAGATTGGGTCATTTATCTTTTCATAAGCTTGCTACATTGCCTGATTGTTCTACTTCACTTTGCAAACAACTCAATAGATTACCATGTGATACATGTCATTTTGCTAGACAAAAAAAGCTCCCATTTGATAATAGTATGTCTATAGCATCTGAACCTTTTGATCTTATTCATTGTGACTTATGGGGTCCTTTCAATACTGCATCTCATTCTGGCCATAATTATTTCCTTACTAATGTTGATGATTGCAGTAGGGTTACATGGATATATCCTATCATTCATAAATCTGATACTGGTCATTACATGTCCCATTTTTACAACTTGATTAAGACTCAGTTCCAGAAACATATCAAATGCATAAGAACTGACAATGGCACAGAGTTTCTCATGCATAATTTCTACACATCTCATGGCATTATTCATCAAACTTCTTGTGTGGAAACCCCACAGCAAAATGGTAGAGTTGAAAGAAAACATCAACATTTACTTCAAGTTGCTAGAGCCATCTTATTTCATGCTCACTTGCCTATGCATTTTTGGATTGATTGTGTAACTGCTGCAGCCCACATCATTAATAGATTGCCATCATCTGTTCATAAATCCATCTCACCTTTTGAAAAATTGTATGGCAAACCACCCTCTCTTGAACATCTAAAGGTGATAGGCTGTCTGTGTTATGCATCAACCTTATCTGCACATAGATCTAAATTTCATCCTAGGGCATCAAAATGCATTTTGCTTGGTTATCCACTCGGTTGTAAAGGCTATAGACTTTACAATCTGGAAACTAAGAACATAATAATTTCCAGGAATGTGTCTTTCTATGAAACTATCCTACCTTTTAAACACACACATTATCTCAAAGCTGATACTGGACCTATGTTTCCCAGCCCTCCCCTTTTCTCTTATGATGAACCACAACATACTCAAACCTTATCAGACCACAATACTACCACCTCACAAATATCATCTCCTATATCTTCTCCACAAACAGCCCTTAATTATCCGACAATTTCCACAACTAACCCAAGCCATATACCCATTCAAACACACAATTCTCCTCAACCTACACTAAGGAGATCTACTAGACAGAGGAACCCTCCTCCTTATCTACAAATTTATGATCATAACATTTCTCATTCTTCTAATTCTTCCATATCAATTTCTGAGGACACTCCTGGTACATTTTATCCCAATAGCAACTTTCTGTCCACAGCTTCTTTATCTCATGATTATTGTTGTTATACTGCATCTATTACTACTAATTCTGAGCCTAAATCTTTCAAACAAGCCAATTTAGATCCTTTGTGGCAGGAAGCCATGAAAAAGGAAATTACAGCCTTAGAACAAACCCAAACTTGGGATCTTGTTCCTTTACCTAAAAATCAAAATTCTATAGGCTGTAAATGGGTTTACAAAATAAAATATAAATTAGATGGTAGTATTGAAAGATATAAGGCCAGATTAGTAGCTAAGGGCTACACCCAAGAAGAGGGGATTGACTATTTTGACACTTTTTCCCCTGTTGCAAAAATCACCACAGTAAGAGTCCTCATTGCATTAGCATCTATTAAGCATTGGCATATTCATCAGTTGGATGTGAGTAATGCATTTTTACATGGTGATTTGGATGAAAATGTGTACATTAAACCCCCACCTGGTTACTTAGCTGCAAATGATTCAAGGGTCTGTAAATTGAAGAAAAGTCTATATGGCCTTAAACAAGCCTCTAGACAATGGTTTTACAAGCTTACTACTTGTCTGATTTCATATGGTTTCATTCAATTATCCTCAGATTCTTCTTTGTTTGTGCATTCCTCTACTGATTTTACTCTTGTCCTTCTTGTATATGTTGATGACATAATAGTCACTGGTGATAATCTAAATTCCATTCTTGCCACTAAAAAACATCTTGACTATTGTTTCACCATTAAAGACTTAGGGGTTCTCAAATACATTTTAGACATTGAGGTTGCTCATTCTGATAAAGGCATTCAGCTATGTCAAAGAAAATATGTTTTAGACATCCTGAATGATACTGGCTTCCTTGCTTGCAAACCTGCCACCACCCCTATGGATCCCAATTTGAGATTATCTTCTGTGCATAACACTAATTCAGCTCCTGTAGACTGCACATCCTATAGGAGATTAATTGGTAGATTATTATATGTCACTATCACTAGACCTGACATAGCTCACTCTGTTCAAATCCTAAGCCAACATGTTGCTCATCCTCATCAGACACATCTGGATGCTGCCCATAAGCTGCTCAGGTATTTAAAAGCAACTATTGGCCAAGGTATATTCTATCCCAGAAGCTCTACTCTATCTTTGAAAGGTTATAGTGATAGTGATTGAGCTGGTTGCATTGATACTAGAAAAAGTATTACTGGTTATGCTTTTTTCTTAGGAGATTCACTTATTTCCTGGGAATCTAAAAAGCAAACAACAATTAGTAGGTTCTCTGCTGAAGCAGAGTATAGAGCCTTGGCTTCCACTACTTGTGAAGCTCAATGGCTCCTATACCTGCTCAATGATTTACACATTTCTCATAATGCTCCTGTTTTACTTTTTTCAGATAGTAAGTCAACCATAACATTAGCCAAAAACCCAGTTTACCATGAGAGGACAAAGCACATCGAAATTGACTGCCATCTTATCAGAGAAAAGCTGTCAAAAGGGATCATCAGTCTACAGTTTGTGCCTTCAGAGGAACAAGTGGCATATGTTCTTACAAATCTTTGCATCCTCAGCCCTTCCACAAGTGCATTTCCAAGATGAACATCCTCAACATTCACAAATAGTTTAGCATATTCATCTTGCGGGGGGATATTAGATTGTATTTTCCTTATGATAGCACTTTTTACTAACACGCTTTCAGCATTGTAAATAGCATTTTTAGTAGTAAATAGTCTTAGTATAAATAGGATGCATTAGGGTTTGATACTTCACTTTTTCACTTTCTATTTTCTGTATTTTTGCTCTCTCTCTAAACTCTCTCGCCGTCATGTACTACAGAGTTCTTCTCTGATTTTGATTCTATCTTTCATCAATCTTTTGATTCAATCACTGTTAATAAAAATTAAATATACATTTACCAAGTTTGAAAAAAAAATATTTATGTTTAATACCAAACCTAACTCCACAGCAAAAATGAATATATAAACAACATTACGAAAGCGTAAATTCTCGTCATTTCAACATCCGAAACATAAATATATGACACTTAAGCTCAACATGTTTTGAAGTGAGGGATAAGGAGGGATAACACTCACCAATAGACTTAGGGGTTGTTTGGTTGGGAGAA